AATAGCACATATTTCCTTCTTACTAGAAGAGTTAAACGATAAACATTAACTAACTAGATCTCTTAGGAGTTTTGACGTAGTGATGTCAGATTGCGAGCTCGAGAGCATGTTGGTGCGAAACAAGCCGTGAGACTTACTGAGTGTAGTGCGTTTTATAGCTCAAACAACCGTCAAAATCGACTAGCCAACACTAAATTTGAGCCTTAGAGTTCAATATATAACCCCTTCAAATTCTTACTCTCCCACCGATGTGGGACTATAATATTTGGGATGTCATAAAATTACCCCATCTTACATATACGATATTCTCATCTATCTTACATATGCGACATTCTCATCTCAACATGACAATTGGCATATCATAGTATTACCGACAGACGATGTGGACTCTAGATGTGGCTTCTACGAGCTCTAAAGTTGGATCCTACCACGATTACATGGTATAACACTTAGTCACGCATAACACTTAGCTCCACACTTCCAGATGACAAACTTCTATGATACAATTTTTAACCTCAGGCCCGTGAGCCCGTTAGCATGGAGTAAGTGGTGGGATCCACTGAGTACAGCATATTTTTTGACTCAGATGACTACCAAAATCGACTAGCGGATACTACACAGAGCATTAGGCTTCACTATATAAACCTTTTAAACTCTTACTTTCCTAGATGTGGGGCTATAATATTTGAGGTGTCACGAGTGAAAGGGGTCTTTAACTTGGTGTTATAACAAACTAAATTTTATCGTTCTCATAGTTAAACCGGATTTTAAAAAAAAAGATACTGTGATATCAAAATACTTTTCTGTTCCATAAAGAGGACTTGCAACATTATGGATATAATAGAGGTTAAATTACAAGTCTTAATCTTCAGTCTTCACCATAATTTTTGCTGTAATGGAAGGAACTTTCAACCGACATTAATTTTTTTTTTTAATAGAGAGAAGTAGACTCTTCTACTCTGCTCAATGTATAATTTTAATTCACCCTCAAAATAATAGCATATCATTGTAAGTATCAAAAGCATTGCAATTTTTTGTCTCTTTCTTTTTCTTTCTCAAAATAGGTCAGGAACATCTATCAAAAATGAGAGAAAGAGACCTTATACACACATGCAAAGAATAGTTGTGATTAAATCTTAAAACCTGAGAATCAGTACATGAATCATAGATGATCGATTTCAGCCATCGATCATCGATGATGGCACTCTGTCATCAATGATTAGAAAACGTCTGGATAATTTTATCATCGATAGTTCATGAGTCGTCGATAAAAAATATTTATCTGTAAAGTTGAATCATTGATGACCAAAAGCTCTCATTTATGATCAGTTTGGTCGTTGATGATCAACTTGCTGATGACTCCTTTTTGAGCTGAATTACATTCTATTTCGTCTCAAACTTGATCCTCACTTGTTTAAACCTGCACTAATCATCTCAAACACAAATTAGACTCAAATGAATATTTATTATTACACAAACAAACAAAAAAATTGTACGGATAAGATCCTAACACTTACTACTGTTTGGAACAGCTCCAACAAAACCATATTTCACAACTCTGGACCCAACCAAATGTTATTTCATAAAATAGATGTCCATCAAAAGGGTGGACTGTTCAAGCAAATTTTGAAACACGTTAACTTATAACTAGTGCCATGGACACGAATGAAACGAAATCACGGGCTCATCTGCTGCTTTGCCGCGTCCAATTTCCGGAAGGCCATTTTCGTCATTTAGGACGAAAGTTTGTATTTGGTTCAATTAAGGACAAGCGTTTTAATGATGGTTGTTTCTTTCACATTTTTGTCCTCCTTCATTAGATCTCTTTATTTATTTATTTATTTATGATAATCCTTCAGAAGAATTTTAGTTACTAGTTAGTAACACAGTTAATTGACAGTGGAGTTATGCAATATGGGCAAATATGTCATTTGACATTTGTAACGGACAAAATGTGTAAGGGGTATTTCGCAACTTCAAAAAGAGACCCGACCAAGTCTAGTTTTCCCCTAAGGGCCTGTTTGGCTATTTCCAAAAAAAAAAACAGAAATGGAAAACCCTCTTTGGAAATGATTTCAACACATATCAAGAGGTTTCCCAGTTTTCTTTTATTTTGTTTGTTTCGCAAAGAAACCTCTTCTTTTCATTGCTAAGTCACACAAAAACAAAAAAAGCCTCCATAGTAACGGTGCTTTTGATTTTCATTTCTTTAGTTTGACAAGAAGTAAAAAGAAAAGAGAAATGACCCATTAAAAAATGAATTTATTCATCATGGTACTCTCCAATAGTGCTTCTATTAATTAAAAACTCATTGATGTTACATTTCCAAGTGTTCTCATAGTTTTTTGTTGTGAAAACACATTTCTTGAAATGTGACATGGAATCCTAGGTGGCATCCTCATTTCCTTAAGGGCGTGTTTGGTTCGCTAATATAAGCGTGGAAAACTAAAAAAAACCCCTCGTGCATCTTCGTTACTAGAATGTTAAGTTATTAACTATATATAATGCCATTTATGTTTGTGTTTTGTTTGGTTATGACTTGTGAGCACTTGTCGTGATGGTTGCATGATTGGGAAATTCTTGATAGGAAAATCAAGCACACATGTTCCAGAGAGTCACTAGGAGGAGAAGCTGAACGAAGATGCACGAGGGAAGCTGTATGTTATTGTTCTGGTACTTGTTTTAAGATGTTATTTTCTCAGTGGGATGACTTGGAGCTCTTCCCTTCATTGCTGTAAATTTCTTTATGTTGGAGTAATTGAAGTATGTTATTTGCCATAGCTGTAATCTGGCTTGAGAGCTTTTAATCGCTAATTGAAGTATGTTATTCGCTATATCTGTTAGTTGCTATTTGTGCTCGTCGTCGAGCTCCTGTGGCTGTTTTTGGTTACTATGATGATTCGAGCTTGTTTAGCTCTATGTTGTTGGGTGTTTGGTTGCTATTTATGACTATTCAGGTTGTTTATATGTTTTAATAGGTTTCAGTAGATTTTTTGGGTAATTCAGGTATGTACTACGTGAATTTATGAATAATCAGGTTATTACAGAATTCGTGTGATTTTTTCAATCTCAAACAGGAACATTTGAACTTTTATATGATTAAGATTACCTCATATTACAAGCACAAAAAATTTGTATATAGTGGGGGTAATCTTACCATGGTGATTATAAACACTTTTTCCTACAAACTTCAAAACCAACCAAACACAAGAAAAGTGGGAAATGTCATATTAACAAAAGTTTTCCTTTTTTTTCCCTGCGAACCAAACACAAGAAAAGTAAATATATTGGTTTCCCACCATTTTTTATGTGCGAACCAAAGCGAAACAATCAATTTCTTGGAAAAGTAAAATAGTCTAAAGTTCATCCAAGTAGAGGGTAGTTCAGAAAAGAACTATCTTAATACCTTAAATTTTGAACTAAATAAATCTAGTTCAACTTTGGCCCTATTGCTACCAAACTAAAGACTCACTTTTGAAACAAAGTAATACCCACTAGAACTAGTTTTGTGAGGTTGCCGAGCACATCCTAAAAGTGGTAAATCGGATGATAATAACAAATGGATGCTTGAGCCTTGAGATATTATCATTTTAATAATCTAGACATTTCTAACTAAAAAAAAGGAAAATCATGAGAACAAGTGTATAATTAACGATCTAACTAGTTAGCATGAAGAAATCATCTCTCTCTTTTTATATGGATTTATAATGTAACCTTTTTGATCACCATCACCATCACTTATAAGTCTGATCAAATACCTCTGACGTAAATATAGCTTGAAAGTAGAAAGTGACATCCAATTTTAACTTTTTGAAACGCAACTTTCCTTAAATTCTCATCTGAAACTTTACCAACTGTTTTCTTCATCTAAAATTTCCCCAACTAAACTCACATGAAAAATAAAATAAAAAGAGAAATCTCACTCACTAGATACTAGATGATCACTCCATCCACATCAACAATCATTTATTAATGGAGTACAAATTTTATCATAGTAGCCTCTAAATGAGGGAGATGTTTCGAACCATAAAGAAGACAATAAGAATCTCCAATTCACCCTCCTACTCTCCATCTCTTTGCGAACGACTTAAGATACTTTGGCTCATATGCGCAAGTTCTGATAAATTTATACTCCGATCGTTGTTATTAACGATTCATATAAAACATATTGTATATTTTATTTGCACTGATATATTTTTTGCTGAATTGCATTGAGTTTTATCATTTGCGTCTATTTAAAATTTTAGGGTTAATTACAATCTGGCACATTAATGTATGTATGGTGTAATTATATAAAGGTAACTTTGAGGTCACTTATTTACACGGATACCTCTGAGATTATAAACTGTATAACTACAAGGATGACCATAAAGAAGACATAAAGAAGACAATAAGAATCTCCAAATCACCCTCCTACTCTCCATCTCTCTGCGAACGACTTAAGATACTTTACTCATGTGCGTAAGTTCTGATAAATTTATACTCCAATCGTTGTTATTAACGATTCATATAAAACATATTGTATATTTTGTTTGCACTGATATTTTTTTTGCTGAATTGCATTGAGTTTTATCATTTGCGTCTACTTAAAATTTTAGGGTTAATTACAATCTAGCACATTAATGTATGTATGGTGTAATTATATAAAGGTAACTTTGAGGTCACTTATTTACACGGATACCTCTGATGAGATTATAAACTGTATAACTACAAGGATGACCCCTGAGCCCGCATGACAAGCAATTGCTAGTGTTATCGGTGTAACTATAGTCAGTAACTTCAGAGTTACTGGTATATCGTATTGTAATTAGTCCTAAAATTTATTGCGAAACACATGCATCCCACACCTTTAACTCCTAGCAAGAGCTTCGTGTACGAGACTGCCCTTTATGTCTATATGCACAGTGGTCCTTCTACAGGACTTTTTCCCCCCGCCCTCCTCCCTGTTTATATTCGAGCATTTTCTCTGATTCCAAAGGCCACCTCTCTTCTCCCCCTCTGTCCTCTTGCTACAATAATAACTGCTACAGTTGTACAATACAACAAGAAAGAGGGATTACAAAAAGAGAGCCAAAACCCTGCTCTTAATTTCAAACGAATCCTCCACTGTTCCCTTCACCCTCTCTCTCTCTCTCTCTCCTTGGCAATGGCTCTCAAGTTAGTGCTACTAGCAGTGGCTCTGCTGGCGGTGTGGTCACCACCCCCGGTGACCGCAACCGTCACCTACGACCACGGGTCCTTCGTCATCAACGGGCGGAGAAAAATCCTCATCTCTGGCTCCATTCACTACCCCAGGAGCACTCCTGAGGTCAATGCAGCTTCTTGGTCTTTAAGTTAAGTTTTTCACTAAATTATCATCTTTCTTTTTTTCGTCGCTGATGTTTGATTTGTTCATGTGGGCTTTGTTCAGATGTGGCCTGACCTCATACAGAAGGCTAAAGATGGAGGCTTGGATGTAATTCAGACCTATGTGTTTTGGAATGGGCATGAGCCTTCTCCTGGCCAAGTACGCAAATTTCATTTTTTTTTTTTTAGATATTGGTCCCTTAAATCTTTCATATTCTTCAGTTAGTATTCTAAATCTCTGAAATTGTTTTCATTTTTCCAATTCATATATAAGTTACTTCAAATTAGTGTCCATCTTAGTTGTTCTGTCCAAAATTTTTTTTTTTAACTATTTTTGGGCTAGTAATTAACCATCAAGGTAAATTACTGTTTCACCCTGAATTCCTTCGTTATACGATAATCACAAAACTTTTCTGGATTTTAAAGAACTGGTTTGGATTTAGAGATCCAAATTTGAAGGAAAAAAGTATAACTGGAAATTCCTCAGTTAAGTTTAAATATTCGGTCCGACTGGATAGTTTATCTAAGATTAATTTGGAGTAACTTACATGAATTGAGAAGTGAGATGAAAATTTCAACGAGTTGGGGACTAATTTAATAATACGAAATATTTGAGGGACCAATACTAAAAAACACTTTTTTTTTAAGAAAAGTTCAAATTTTGGTAATGTTGGTTTTGTTGCAAACACTTGTTTTGATTTGGGTTTTTCTGGTAGTATTATTTTGGTGGAAGATATGACCTTGTTCGGTTCCTCAAGCTTGTGAAGCAAGCCGGCCTCTATGCTCACCTCCGCATTGGGCCTTACGTTTGCGCTGAGTGGAATTTTGGGTAAGATTCTTATTTTTTTGAGACCCATTTTAATCTAGTATGAAATTTTGCTGATAATTCTTCTGTTTGATTAACAGGGGTTTCCCAGTTTGGTTAAAATATGTTCCTGGGATCAGTTTCAGAACTGACAATGGCCCTTTCAAGGTCAGAAAAATCATTCGTTATCAACCCAAATTTTACTTGCAAAAGTTGTTGATTCTTTAAGTTTTATTGTGAAATAGGCTGCAATGGGGAAGTTTACAGCAATGATTGTATCAATGATGAAAGCTGAAGGTCTTTATGAATCACAAGGTGGTCCTATTATCCTCTCTCAGGTATAAATTTAATATCCATTTCTTATCTCAATTGTGACAGTCATCTGATTGAAGAAGAAGATAACATTATCTTGCTTGGTTTGGGAAGATTGAGAATGAGTATGGGCCATTGGAGAGCTACAATGGAGCCTCAGGGAAATCATACTCCTATTGGGCTGCGAAAATGGCGGTCGGACTCAAGACTGGAGTCCCATGGGTTATGTGCAAGCAAGATGATGCTCCAGATCCAGTTGTATGCTGATCTTCCTTTATCTTTGTTCTTCCATTGAAAAATCCATGCTTTCCGCAGGTTGATTAATCGACAAAATTGTCAAGGATAAATTTCACAAAATTACCATAAAGTTATTTTTGTTAGCAAAAACTTACTCTAACTGTTGTCAAACGTGATGGCGTGAAAATAGCTCATGCTAGTTTTTTCTAATTAAAAAAATATAGTTTATGATAGTTCTGTCCAAAACACTTGAAATCTCAAGGTAGTTTTGTGAAATTTTATCCAAATTATAATTATCACATCTCATCACAACTTGATAATCTTGGTGTAGTGTTAGAAGCTGAGCTTCCCTTTTATGTGTTGAAACTTAGGCTAGCTTCACACAGCGGTACCTGGAGTTTTGATGCCACGAGAGTGACTTCAAGACGACCTCCTACTATATTTATGTAATGAGAGGTTGAGCTTCCCTCTCAAAATCCGCTAATCCTCAACCGCCTATTGGAAATTTTGATGTAATGAAAGGGACTTTAAGATGATAGCAGAGCAACCAAATTTAAATCCCGCCAGACGCATATACAAAATAGATTTGAAAAATATGATTGCAGAAAATAGCCTCAAGCTTCAACCTCGCCATGACTTTAGTGGAAGGGATTTTAAGACTAACCTCCTACTTATTTTGAGGCCCCATAACACATGATTTTGAAAACTTCGTTTATTTTAACTGCACTTTTGCTAGGTGCTTATGTTGTTCAAACATCACTTTCTCTTGGTCACATTAACCTTTACCAACAGAAAGCCATGCTTTGGATTTCTGTACTGTCATTTCCACTTTTTTTTTTACTCCTCTGACTTGCGATATTTCTTGATTGAGAATCCGTTCCCAATCATTTTCTAAAACTTTACATTTGGAATTTTCCATGACAGATTAACTCATGCAATGGTTTTTACTGCGATAATTTCTCACCAAATAAGCCTTACAAGCCCAAGATGTGGACTGAGGCTTGGAGTGGCTGGTAATTGTTTCTTGGTGTTCAAACACATTCATCAGTATTTCAGTAAGGGTAAATTGAAAAATTCCCCTGTGATCTGTAGGAATGATAGAAAATCCCCATGATGAGGTTTTAAAAGTGACATTTTACGTCACTCATTTTCAATTCCTAGCCAAATAATCATCACTTTTTTTATGTAACCATTAATTTTTGTCTGCAAATTAGTTTTGTAGAAAATAAAAGCGAAACCTTATGGAGATTTTTCGTTACTCATGCAAACCTCAGGGGAATTTTTCGTAATTTACCCATTCAGTTAACAATGCATTTCTTATCTTATACTTTTCTGTGCAGGTTCACTGGTTTTGGTGGTCCAGTCCCTCATAGACCCGCAGAGGACTTAGCCTTCGCAGTTGCAAGGTTTGTACAGAAAGGTGGATCTTTCATTAACTACTATATGGTAAGAAGAATCAATACTTCGATCGCATCCAATGTTTAGTTTAGTTCTCTGGAAATAGCTTATGCCCGAAATTGTTTTTCAGTACCATGGAGGAACTAACTTTGGCCGGACAGCTGGTGGTCCTTTCATCACAACTAGCTATGACTATGATGCTCCAATTGATGAATATGGTATACATTTGAGTCTATCTTTCTTTATATTCATGGAAAGCAGTTTCTAATTCATAATTTAGCTGCTTGAAAATGAACCTTGGTTGTTTCTGATATCTCTGATATGTGGTTCGTCTGCCAAACTGTCTCCACGTCGATATGAATATGAGACAAATTTTACATTGAAAGATATCAACATTCTCCGGATGCGTCAAGGTTCTGTTGGATAGATACTTGGATATTCAAGAATAAAAAGAACACTGATGTATCCATAAAACTATGCGGTGTTAATTTGAACACTCAAAGTATTTCTTTCTTAATGCATCTGATGTTCAAAATTTACAACTCTTAAAGTTTTCCTTTCTTAATGCATCCAATGTTTAAAAACTACGTGCTAGTTTGACACTTTGTCAACTCTTTTGACACTTCAAACCGTATAACCAATCAAAGCAACATTCTAATGTAGGATGCAATCAATTTCAGTATTTTTCTGCCTTTTGTATTACTCAATATAGTCATCATATTGTACTTTCTCCCAATAATATTACTAAGTATCAACTTGAACTCTTAATAATGTAGGTCTACTGAGGCAACCGAAATGGGGCCATTTGAGAGACCTGCACAAAGCAATCAAACTATGTGAACCAGCTCTGGTTTATGGCAATCCAACAGTAACAGCGCTCGGACATTATCAAGAGGTTTACTTGGAGACCTTCTATCTCCTTTAAAAGTTTTCAAGTTATTAAATGCTAAAATATTTTTATTGCTTCTTGTTTAGTCTCATGTCTACAGGTCAAAATCATCTTGTGCAGCATTTCTTGCCAACTTTGATTCACAATCTTATGCAACGGTTGCTTTCAATGGAATGCACTACAATCTTCCTCCTTGGTCCGTTAGCATCCTTCCTAATTGTAAAACTACAGTTTTTAACACTGCAAGGGTAAGAAAGAAATCAAGTTCAAACATTTGATGGAAATTTTACTTTATTGTACTATATATGTCTTGTTTAATTTCTATAATCTCCTTTTGGGTTTGCGGATATACGCCTTGTAAATTTAGTTTTTTTGTCCCACTTAAACTGAGGGCAAAAGGTAATTTATCATCACATGTCATGGGTGACATCTCAACCTAAGATGGATAATAATGTTGTCCAGAGTTTAGGCGGTATATGTTCTAAAAAATAGTTTCAGTTTTCAGGGGTATGAGTGGCTACATATGCATAGTACAGGAGGTGATTCTGAAATTAATCCTTTTATATGTTATATTTTTTATTAGTTTCTTAAAAATTTTATATGATATGCAGGTAGGATCTCAGTCTGCAACTATGAAAATGCAAAGGCTTGGAGGGTTTTCTTGGAAGGCATACACTGAAAATACCGAGTCCCTTAGCGATAAGACATTCACAAAGGTTGGATTGTTGGAGCAGTTAAATACAACATGGGATAATTCGGATTATTTGTGGTACACAACATAGTGAGTATCCAATACATTATCTTTTTTCTCTTTGGCTTACTTCGATACCCCAAAGTTTTTTACCCATTCTTTCACTTTGATACCCCCAAAGTATTTCCTAACGCTTCTATACTCCAGGGTTTCAATCTTTATTTCACTTTGATACCCCCATCCACATTTCATTAGATTTTATATTAAATTTATACCATATATCTAGCACGTGATACCCCATCCACTGCTACTAGGAACATTTGGTTGTGTGAACCCCTGACATCTGAGTAAAATGAACCTAAATGTAATACAAACTCTATAGAAAATCTAATGAAATCTAGGCGGGGGTATCAAAATGAAATGAAATTGAAACTTTGCGGGCATCAAAGTGTTCAAAAATAGTTTGGGGTGTCAAAAGGAAAAATGGGGAAATTTTGGGTACCAGAGTGAGATAAGCCGTTGTTTCCTCTGGTTGAAAGTTAAATTAAGGCTCTTACACATTGCATTTTAGTGTCGACATAGCCAAAGATGAAGAATTCCTAAAGAGTGGGCGATATCCTTATCTGACAGTGATGTCAGCTGGTCATTCTTTGCACGTGTTCATCAATGGGCGATGGAGCGGTAAGCTACGATGACTACTGAAGAAAACAAACGACTACACAAACAAGAGAACAATCCATATATATTCAGCCTTATCTCCAATTAAACTTTAAAAATTCGACAGTTTGAGTTATACTTAATAATCACACTTCTTTAGTTTCATATGCTTAATGCCTTTTTACTCTTGGCAGGGTCGGCACATGGGGAACTGGAAAATCCCAAACTGACATATACCGGGAATGCAGAGTTGTGGGAAGGCAGTAATAAGATTTCTATCTTGAGTGTATCTTGTGGGCTACCGGTATGTTGTTTACCTATGTCTATCCACCATTATTATAAAAATAATTGATACATATGAGCAAAATTGTCAAGTTTATTTTAGAACGTAGGAAACCATTTCGAAACTTGGAACACAGGGGTGCTTGGCCCAGTGACGCTAACTGGCCTTAACAAGGGAAAAAGAGATCTTTCATGGCAAAAATGGACTTACCAGGTGAACATACTTAGATTTACTTTGTCAATTGTTATGATACGTCAAACTATCGATGATTTTATGACGATGGTATAGATTGGTTTGCACGGAGAGAATTTGAATCTTCATTCTCTCACTGGAAGTTCCAATGTCGAGTGGGGAGAAGCATCTCAAAAGCAGCCATTAACCTGGTATAAGGTAAATCCAATCAAATTAATATCGATGATTCAACATTATTATACATAAAAATGTAGGCCAAGTTTGTTTATGTTTTCTCCATCAGACTTTCTTCAATGCACCAGAAGGGAACGAACCGTTGGCTTTAGATATGGGTAGCATGGGAAAGGGCCAAGTTTGGATAAATGGACAGAGTATCGGTAGATACTGGCCTGCATATAAAGCATCCGGCTCTTGTGGTGCTTGTGATTACCGTGGACCCTATAGTCATAATAAGTGCCAAACTAATTGCGGGGAGGCCTCTCAACAATGGTAAGAGACCAAGTTCTCATCAATTTTTATGACCCCCCAAAGTCTGACCCATTTCTGTGATAAACCTCCTTAACATTATAAATTTTACTTAACCCCCTCAATCTTTGGGACTTGTCACAAAACCCTCCAAATGTTTTCAATTTTTTCAACATAACCCCAAATTGTGTAACCCCCAATTTTTCAACATAACCCCCCTAACTTTCGGCATTATTTTTGGAAAACCCAAAACTTACAACATTATTTACAAAAACACCAAACTTCCAACATTATTTTCAAAAAAAAAAAAAAATCCCATGAACGTCTGATGAAGTTTCAGAAACCCCCAGTTATGCCGTTAGGGGGATATGTTGAAAAATTGCAGACATTTAGTAGGTTTTCTGACAAGCACCAAAGGTTAGGAGGGTTAACTGACATTTATAAATTAGGGGGTTATCTCAGGTGGGCCAAACTCTAAGGAGTTGTACGAAACTTACCCTTCTGTAAGTTTATGAATGTAATAAACTAATTTTGTTTCTTAATTGTTTAGGTATCATGTTCCTCGTTCTTGGTTGAGTCCAACGGGGAATTTTTTGGTTGTGTTGGAAGAATGGGGAGGTGACCCGAGTGGGATATCAATGGTGAAAAGGTCGGTAGGGAGTGTTTGTGCCAAAGTTGAGGAGTGGCAACCAACAATGGAGAATTGGTATACCAAAGCATATGGTAGACCAAAGGTTCATTTATCTTGCGATCGAGGCCAAAAGATTACTAACATAAAGTTTGCTAGCTTTGGAACTCCTCAAGGCACTTGTGGGAGCTTCTCGGAGGGTAGATGTCATGCACACAAATCTTATGATGCTTTTGAGGAGGTAAATTTTCAACATAACATATATCCAAATACAAAAAATAAGTGTCGCAAAAATGAGAATGTTATGATGAACTTGTGGATACATATTAAGAGATATGATAATGAAGAGTACATTCGTAGGAGGTTAGAGGTTGCTCCTGTCGAGGAAATGCCACAAAATCCGGCAATTAGGAGAACCGATGAGATTGTAATTAATAGAATAAAGAGGACTTGAGATAAACCTAAAGGAACCTGGTTGGGAGGAATCAAGGACCGGCGTTGGTTAACTTGGGAGAAGACTAAATAGAACATAACGAAAGAATATATGTAGCTGGCCACAAAATTTGGGATAAAGGTTTTGTTGTTTATATACATGATACCCAACAAACATAAATGAACTTGGAGATATTTTTATGAGTTACGATTACATTTGTTATCCATTCTTTTTCTGAGAATGCTAACATAAGAGAGACTTTGCAGAATTGTGTAGGTAAACAATTTTGCTCGGTAGTTGTTCTTCCTGAAGTCTTTGGAGGAGATCCTTGCCCGGGAACTATGAAGAAGATTGCAGTCGAGGCCGTATGTGAATGATCACTGGCGGTGATCCACATACTATTGGTTGGTATACATGTACATCTCAATAACACAGTTTAACTTATGCCTCAATTAGAAACAAAAACATTTCCAAAATTTTTAAGTTATCAGTGTACAGAGTGGCTGATATAAGAAAAAATGGAGGGGGAAACATGAGGTAAAGTTTAAATTGGTTCTTCATACATTGTAATATCATTTATATGTTGCATATGAACAATTGGAATGTGTAAGGCTTGATATCGGTTTGTTTTATATTCTTGTAAGATACGTAAATCGTTATGTCATATATGTAATAAACTTTTGTGGTTATCTTTTCTCAATGCTTATGAGATTTTTTTTATCGTAAGTTTGCTCGTGCAATTTCTGAGCTCTAAGTTTCAGGTTCCTTGACTTTTGATTTTTTTTTTCTGTTTCTCTTTGTACTTATAAACGGTATACTTGTTATTTAACTTGTAATTTTGAAGAGATTTGAGAGAGCTTTGACAATATTATCCATTCTAATAAGGTGTTTACATATAAGAGAAAGTAGAGAAGTTCTACTAAGCTAAGCAACGTAGGACTAAATTAAATAAAGCAAGATAAGAGAGTAGGATGAGAGTGAGGAACGTCGCTCTGGCACTCCATAAAACGGGTTGTGCGTCTTTCATGCGCCTTGTGTGCATCATAGTCGATGGGCATTGAGCGGCCATCGAAGGTGAGGATGGTTGTGGTTTTGCTGTCGTTGGCGGAGAAGTCGACAAGAGAGACAGTGGCAGCCACCGGAGGTGGGTGGGCAGCTGCAATGGTTGTGAGCTGTGGGGGTCGTTGGTCGCAGAAGAGAAAAGGGTAGGAGGTTGCAGCGCGAGGGCATGGTTCGGGCTGCAGTGTGACATTTCATCAAACATTTGGCGGGCAATAGCTGTTTGGGTCACATTCGGTGGGCTGCGGTGCGACAATATTATTCTTTCTAATAAGATGTTTAAATACAAGGGAATGTAGACAAGTTCTAATAACCTAAAATTTAGATGGGAACTATAATAAACAAGATCGGAGTCTGACAATTATACTTAACAGAGCTTTGCTTATTAGTAGCAAAGAGAAATTAATGCGAAAGAAGATGAGAGAATGTTTTCACAAGTTACAAGTGTATTGTTCGCGTAAGTTGTTTCATTTAGAACTCTTTTAATGGGGTGGGGGGTCCAATCTAGAGGTTCTTTTCTGTGGCAACTGTCAAGGGTAGGAGGCTACAAACAAAAACTTTAGAAGATTCCAACGAAATTATTGTGCTTTTAATTGAATATATAATGTCCTATTTCAAGAACCATTGCTTCCAAAAATATGCATAAAGTATTTCTCCATGTCTACAATTAGGTAGCTTTCGTATTTAAATATATGAATGGACCCAATAGCCAAATAATGCGTGAACCTTTTAAATTTTTGGACAGGAGAATATAAAAACCTCATGGATTGAGACCCTCTCCAATTAGGTGGTTATTGGAGAGGGTCCAATTCTTGCTATCCTTACCATCTATATCACTTTTAATGGATGAGATCATGCCATGTGAGATTTTGATTATTACAAATAGTGATTTTGAATATAGTGGTTTTCAAGTTCGCAAGTGGTTTTCTAGACCATATTGATTTTCAAGATAATAATAAAAATCTTACATGGCATGATCTCATCCATTGAATTTATTATAGGCGATAAGGATTGAGAGAATTGGACTCTCTCCAAGTTCCTCTTAGTTGAAGAGGATCTAAATTCAGAGCATTAAGAGAGCAAAACAATACCAAATTAATCAATAAAAACAGTGCTTGAGCTCATTTCCTTCTAATACATGCACAAAGCTCCAATGTTCATAGTACTATAATCTCTACTAAGCTGAGGTGGGTGGTGAGTAGGTTTCTATTCTAACTACTTATTTTTGAATGGCCTAACTGCATATAGACCCCATATAGTTCTATTGTTGCATATAGATCTTGAGTGATTTGTTTTTTTAATTACTTTATTTACCATCAGACAAAAGAATAAATTTTTTGTTGGACAAATAGAGCTTCCGAGGGTCTATCTGCAACAATAAAACTATAAGGATTCTATCTGTCATTGGGCAATAAAATAGGAGGTCTATTAGCAATTGACTCTTTTTGAATTCTCTAAACTGTGGAAAGTCTAGAAATGTATGGCTATTATAACGACGAGAGCTAGATGGAAGGTAAGTTACAAAGAAATAAGATGAAAAAGGAGTGCATTGGTAAGTTTTGTTCATTTATAAGTATGTAAAGTTTAATTAGCTTGAATTATTAGGCGTTTTGAATAAAAATAAAATAAATTATTTATTAGAGGAAAATATCATAAAAATATAAAATTATCAGGAATACCGTAAACCTTTAAAAGAATATCCATAAATTGAATATGTCAGTAACTTTTTATTAAACTATCATGGATATTTATTATTTTCAGATGATTATCATGAACTTTCAAATATTATTACAAAGTTATAATGTGGTTTTTTTTATAGCACATGATATTTTATTTAAGGATTTAAAAGTCTAAAATAGTTTTTCTAATCGAATAATTTATGATAGCTTCGCCCAAAACCTGTAATAGCTTATGATTTTTTTTTTTTTTGTCTTTTATAATTAAAGGAGAAAATTGTCTGAAGCTCTAAAGCTTAAGTTAATGGGGCTTAAGAAAATTTTTGAGTCCGGATCCTATTAGAATATATGCCACATGGTACGAGACACTTTGAATCGATGATAGATCAAATAGGAGGATAATTTAGGTAGCTTCTAACCCCTGTATGACACAACTATGAAGCACGGACACGCATAACATGAAGCCGTGCCGTGTCGTGTCCGTATCGGACACACTGGTCGAACACACGTATTCTATGTATTTTTTAGGATTTATCTCGTGTCGGCATGTCGGATGGCCGTGTCGGATCCGTGTCCGTGCTACATAGTGACACACAACCCCGCACGATTCTGATAGGATCCGAACTCACAATTTACCTCAGATAAATTTTAACCTTGAACAAAAACATGCATCACCGAAGACTCTTGTGTCTGCCGATAATGATTAAAAAAGTTTTGAACTAACAAAGAATGAACAGTCAACTGCTGAAGGAAAGAAAAACACCTCAATTCAAGCATGTTATCGCGCGGGCACGTGATGATGTAGCTCATTTTTCCTTGCCTAAATTTGACACTATAGCGTTTAAAAATCCCGTGCATGACTAATTTACTTTCTGCTTCAAGTAGGATAGCAAATAAAAGTTACTAATTACTAGACCCAATTGCAATTTACACATTGCAATTTCCACCAGTTTGGGTCCCAAATGGAGGGAGGTGCTTTCAAATGATCAGCTCCTAGTGGACCCCAACGGTGCTTGATATTTCTCATATTGATTGAGATTGGTTCACTATATATAACTTAAAATACTTTATCTACCAACAATAATTTATGGACATACAGATATATGTAACGTATTCACATAAAATTACTTGTATGAACTTCTGTTCTGGATTTATGTTGTTTTATAATAATAGGTTAATATATAGCCCGGAAAGTCTCTATCGAGATAAAAATTTTAGGAAGTTAATTAGTCATATGTCTCTCTCCATCATTTTGTCTCTTCACAAACCAACTAGATTATAACAAGCAGTTCTTTCTAAGGCAGAGAATGAAAGAACTTTTGGAGAATTTTTATGCTAACAATCTTAGTGATAGGTATAGGCCAACGTTCCTATTGGTGGAACCCATGAGGATGAAAAATCTTCGAGCAATGACCCCTGCAATAATAATGATGTATAGAGGGAAACATTAATATACCCTTAGCCCAGATTACTGAAAGAGATAAGAGATGGGATTTAAGTATGATCTTTGAGCTCATGCCACAAAAGGAGATCTAAGAGGATGTCGAGGTTGACAATATGACATGTGAACAATACACAAAGAAATATATTAAATGATCGTGTATCTATTCAAAGCTAATATTACATAAGTATTCAACAGAAATGACCGATGACCTAATAAGCATCCAAAGAATGCCAAACTTTAAATTGATGCATGAATCATAAAATCCAATGATATAAAACTGACATGTCGAGGTTAAAATTTATTAGTTATTATGCACATGCAATGCAAATGGTTAAATATCAAAATTATTTATTTTTTGTTTATTTTCCTACTATAAAATAAGTCAGATTCATTTTGAGTTAAACTATATAAACATGGTTTATTATGTTAGCCATAAATTTTATTTAAATATTTTTTAAAAAACTTATGAAATATACTTATGTGCAAAACTAGGATCATACTTTTATATACTTGCATACAAAACATTACTTTTTTTAAATTTGTATATATTAAACTTTATGTAATATATATATTTATTGGATTAAATCATCGATCTCCAATTTGTTTATCTTATCCATTAAATGTAGTGTTAAGTTTGAAAAAAATACAATAATATATTGCTGACGTGTTAAAAAATATAACCAATACTTAATATTTAGATGGTTTGTATAAGCTCAGCACAGAGCATATACTTTTCACAAGACTGGACATCTTAATTATTGATAGACTTAAAATAAAAAAATAAATACTAAAGATTAATGGTGACTCTAATATAATTTTGTATAATAACATCATTCACATGAGCATATTAAAAAATTGACATGAAAATCTCTTCTAAAGATTCCTAATTTTACTCAAAAAATTAAGTTTTACTATAAAATATTTAAAAAATATTATCCTTCCCTTCTTTTTTCATATTTAATTGAGCCGAGATCAATCCTTCTTCACCTTTATCTTCTTCCTGGGCAATTCTACAGTAGTGTCTTCATCATCTAAATAAATTGTAATATCAGATTGGTATATAATAAAGAGAAAAATACAAGAGTCTAGAAATATATTAGCATATACTTGAATCAATCAAATTATATTATTACTCATAATTGATATGCATCAGAGGCAAAATGTGTTGACAATCTTAAACTATAAAACAGACTGCATGGGCCCTCTAACATAGCTTTTTTAATGCAAGCAACCGTCAAGATTAATTTTGGAAATCTTTTGAGGCTAGGAATAAACAACTAACAAGTTTGCGGTGGAACCTAGGGGAACGTAGTACATTCTTAAGAATTACTCATTTTTACTTAATTTGTTTATAACGATGGAACTCATTATTAACTAACTACAAGGCTTAGTACATTATTATTTTTATTAGGCATTCAAGGCAGGCAGATGACGTAGCGAGTCCTCATCGTAATGAATGTTATACAATTTAAGCACAAAAGAAAAATGAGGGTTGATCAACGGTGTAGTTGGTGAGGAGGA